CGTGGTAGCGCGTACCTGTAATTCCAGCTACTGGGAAGGCTGAGGCGGAAGGATCGCCGGAGCCCAGCAGGTCGAGGCTGCGGTGGCCAGGAGCAGCCACTGCACTCCAGTCTGGGTGACAGAGTGAGACTCCAACTCAAAAAAAAAAAAAAAAAAATCAGCCGGGCGTGGTAGCCCATGCCTGTAATTCCAACTACTGGGAAGGCTGAGGCAGAAGGCTCGCTGGAGCCCAGCAGGCGAGGCTGCGGTGGTCAGGAGCGGCTACTGCACTCCAGTCTGGGCGACAGAGTGAGACTCCAACTCAAAAAAAAAAAAAATTATTGCCTCCTCCCACCCAGACATTTTAAGTTTATTTTCCTAATTCTCTGTAACCCACCATGGAGTTTTAATACCACAGATACACCTTAACTCTGTTTATATACATGACTCTTTTTATTTTTTTTTTTTAAGTCGGGGGTCTCACTCTGTTGCCCAGGCTGCAGTGTGGTGGCACCATCACAGCTCACTGCAGCTTGGACCTCCTGGGCTTAGGGGATCCTTTCACCTGCTTCCCAAGTAGCTGGAACTACAGGCATAAGTCACCATACCTGGCTAAATTTTTTAATTTTTTTATAGAGACGAGGTCTTGCCATGTTGCTTAGGCTGGTCTCAAATTCCTAGGCTCAAGCAATACTCTCATCTTGGCCTCCCAAATTGCTTGGATTGCAGGTGTGAGCCACTGTGCCTGGCCTCTGTGACCCTTTGGCAGGACACAAATCAATATAATATCTAAGGTCATATCACCCTTAAAATCAATTTTCACTGCTTCCATGGGAAATGCATGCTGAGGGACATACATCCAAAGAGCTGACTCTGCTGGCCTTATGGTCAAACTCATACACTGAAAAAATGGCCAAGAGGTCACAGAAACCATGATAACCCTTCCCAAATGGCCCAGACTAAAAAAGGACAGGAAGTTTTTTTCCTTCACTATGTTCAAGATAAAAATGGACTTATTTGAAAAGGAGTGATAAATTTGTTATACTTTCTATACATTTTGAGTAGTTTTATCATAGAAATAGAACTCTTGAGCCGAAGTAACCTACAAAATAGCATCTAGTCCAGCCAACTGTCTTCAGGCAAAAATATATTTTTTATTTGACTTTTTCAAATCAATGAGGCATTTAAGCAGAAAGCATTCAGTTTTTTATTTAGCACATATTTAAATTCTGATGCCAACAAAAAATCATCAAAGGGCTCCTTTCCCTTATCTTTGGCATAAAAAAACATTGCCAGGGCAGGTAGAAGGATTTCTTTCTTTTTATCTTCCTTCCTATGGACAGGGGATGTTTCTTTGGTGTGATATCTAGTGTTTCACTAAAAATCAAATATTTTGTATATACTGTGTTTTACAACTTCATGCTTCAAGGACTCTAGAGTCTAGATTTTAAATGTTTGTTGTGAGTCTGGGCAACTTATCACAGTCATGGCTTTCCAGGCTGACC